AAGCCTTGAAATCTATTCTTGGGCAGCTTAAACATACTGTATTAGAGCAACAATATATACATATATATCGGTGAAGTCGGCGAGTGTTAGGGAAAACAGTACTGCTGGAATCTGATATATATGATCTTTCAAGGAGCAGCATAAACCGTATAAAGTTATCCTCCGACTGTGTTTACATTTGCAATATCTATTCCTATGGGGGCAAGCAAACCTATGAAAAGCGTGCATTTGTCTGGTTATATATGTTTCCTTTGATTTGTTTGTTTCCGCATCTCTGTAAACTATTGCTACATCATTGTTTGTCTATGTTATTGTATTCACTGTGTCTCTGTCTGCGCATCTCTTCTGTGGCTGTGCTATGCTTGTTTTCAACTGAAAAACAAGGAAAGCTGGTTGCGTTGTGCTGAATATTCAAATGAACATATTAATATACATACAATTACATTAATTTTGGGGGGTACTAAAGTTTCACTAACGGCAAATCACAAACAGCTATGCAGTTGTTCATATTCTTAATTTTCATTTCCGTGGTCTTTCTGTTGTATGGCTTCTGAGATTCTTTAGATATTGAGTGACTTCAGATATCAATTCAATTCTTTTGATATGAATTTCTTTGTTTCAGTATCTAGTGCAGCTTTCTGCACCAACATACCGTTCGTCTGCCTAGCAGAGATGTACACGGATAAATAATGATATTCACGGACAAACAAGAGTCGGATCATAAAAACAAGGCCGAAGGAAAACCGCAAGCGCCATGCGAGGTGGAAAGGCCTCATAATGTAAAGTTTACACTCTGATATTTCTTCATAGATTCGCTGCTTTTCACCTCAATGCTCTATCGAGCATGTTGCTCGGAGCAGCAACTACAGTTAGGCTAATCACGCAGCAAGTGAACCTTCGCATACTGAGGCAAACAACGGCGGTTTCGACAGCTATTCGCTCTGCATACCGGCGGACGGATAAGCGGAATAACTAGGTCGCTAGCTAGCTAGCTAGCTACCTAGGCGGCGGAAACCTGCCTGTCTAGGCAGAGATAGCTGCCAGGATGGCGACCAAACCGGCAGTTAGAATGCTGGGAACGGCAACATTTGCAGAGCTGGTTAGATCGTCTTCCGTCATACTGCTTAGTTCATCTTTTCGTGCAATAAGTTCGTTGAAGTACTCCTCGCTGCACGAAAGACGAAACAAACAGACAGAAACAAAAAGTACATTTCCATTTGCTGAAGCTGTGCACGTCTAAATCCTTGCGTAAGAACCATCCAAAAATTCAAATCCAAAAAACCGAGCATACCTGAAGGCGGCCTGGCCCTTTGCTGCTGCAGGACTTAATTCACAGAATAGCGTAGCCTTTGTTGGTGCGGCTCCTTCTGGCGAATCTGTTTGTTTTACGCACTTCCCGATGACGCAGCCGATTTTAGTGCTGCTGGCTTCGAGGAGGTGCAAAAGGCTGGGGACTCCATTCTTCCCCCACATCTCTTCCCAAGCGGTTGTATCTTTTGGATATGTGTTGCTGTTAAAGAAGCATAAACAATCAATGCAACGCAACACA